AAGAAAAAGAGAGAGAAAGAAAGGAAAGGAAGGAAGGGAGAAAGAAAAGGAAAGAAAAAGAAAGAAAGAAAAAGAAAAAAGGAAAGAAGGAAAAGAAAGATGAAAGAAAAAGAGAGAGAAAGGAAAAGAAGGAAGAGAGAGAGAGAAAAGGAAAGAAAAAAGATAGAAAAAGGAAGGAAGAAAAAGAAAGAAAAAAGGAAAGGAAAAGAGAAGAAAGAAAGAGAGAGAGAGAGAAAGGAAAAGAAAGAAGGAAGGGAGAGAGAGAGAGAAAAGGAACAAAAAGAAAAAGAAAGGAAAGAAGGAAGGAAGAAAGAAAGAAAAAGAAAGAAAGACAGACAGACCATTTGGGGAAGCATGGCTAGTAGCATTGTGGCCAAAGGAGCAGAGAGGTGTAGCATCTGTGGCTGGCACTTACCCACGGCCGTCCTTAACAGATGCTCTATGGAAAAAAAATGGGGTGGGGGGTGGAGAATGCACAAGGCAGCGGAAAAGAACAGAGCACAACAATTAGCACCAGCAGAGTCCAGGGATGTTGCTGCCTCTACAGCCAAGCAGGGCCGGAGGAGAACATGAGGGGTCTGGAAAGATATTCTCCTTCTGGGGAAAGAGGCGTCTTTCCCACGTCTCTACTGACCAAGGGAGGGCGGCACCCAGAGTAAATCCACAAGAAGTTTAGGAGAAAGAGAAGGTGGCACAGGTAGGTGGAGCACAGGTGGGGAGGCCCTCAACCAAGGAAGGAAATCGATCTATCCCGGGTGTTTAAACACATCTGCAAGGCGCATAAAAAGTAGGCAGATCTTTGAAGGTGACCACCAAGAGGTGGGATTCAGCTGGTTCTGACCAGTTCTGGAGAACCGGTAGCGGAAATTTTGAGTAGTTCAGAGAACTAGCAAATCCCGCCTCTGACTGGCCCCTCCCCCATCTATTCTCCGCCTCCCATTGAGTCCCAGCTGATCGGCTGGGTCTTCTTTGGTTGCCCTGCATCGGAGAACGGAGCTGAAAAGCAGGCTAGTGGGGTGGGGAGGGAAGGGGGATTTTGCAGGATCCTTCCCCAGCCCCACCCACCAAGCCACACCACGCCCACCAAGCCACACCACGCCCACCAAGTCACACCCACAGAACTGGTAGTGAAAAAAATTAGAACCCCACTACCACTACTGGTGGCCACCATCTTGATGTCTTTGACCACATGCTGCAGAGACCTTTCCCCCATCTACCCCATGGTTCTTCGGAGGTATATTGTCCATAAGATTGTCTCCCAAGGAAGTCAAATGGTCACCCTCCCCATTTCAAGAGGCTGGGGTCTGGTTGGCCCTTGGTCCTGGGTGGGCTTCCCATCGGAAGAGTTCATAGGAGGCTGGAGAAAGCCGTGAGGAAGTCAACATGGACCTCCTTGAGCAGAGGTTTGTGAACCTGTTTATGTGAACAGCATGAAATACCTGGGCCTTTCCCCATTTCTCCTACCCCCCCAAACTCACTCACCTTGTTCCTTCTTGAATTCGTTTTCGCTCATGAACACTGGAGCCATAAGCTCCCCAACGGGTGATTGGATGGACAGGTAAAACTGGCGGGTGTGTGTGCTGGAGACAGAAACACAGCAGCCAAACTAAGTTAGCATTTACAGTGCTAAGGAGAAATTAAATCACTTGCAAAAATCACCACTCTGCAATTTGTCTCTTGCAACAGCTGTTGCCCCTTCCTATTCTTTCTACTGGTTTCCTGCTCCCCTGTTTAATAAAATTCTTTTTATACTGTTGCCATTTTGGAAAGGGGGAATCCTCTGTATGTTCCTTTCCAAGATCCTGTATTGTGTTTTTAAGTTTCCAAATTGGAAGACAAGCAGATGGATGAACTAACAGCCAGAATTCTCCAGCCAGCGTGGTCTCCTGGGTTGAAAATTCAGGGAGTTGACATCTACATTGTGGAATAGAGAAACACTAGCTTAGACTCAAAATTATACCTGCCATTGCACACCTTTCAATCCGTATTTTGTTAGTTTTTCAACTGCACTTAAAACTCACACCTGGTTCTAGACAATCGTAAGATTTGGTCGCCCGTATAAGCAATTCTTCAAGCTGGATCTAATTTCCCCAGGCCATCCCTTGCCAGCTGAGGTTTTTAAATTTTTCCTTCTTCTATCACTTTCTCAAACGCCTATTTTATAGAAAGCAATATTTAAAGAGAAAGCTTAACGGGAGAGAGCTTAGTCACGAATGCTGCTTTATTGATGCTTTGATTTCCAAACCTCCCTGGGATGCTTATGATTCAGCTTGTGACTCAGCATGCAAAGAGGGCAAACCTTTGAACCCAGGGCTGACAAGACAAATGTCTCAGCGCTGGCAGAGAAAGCTTGGGGGAGGGTAATCCTTCGGCTTCTGACTACAATGGAGTCCAACATTTCTATTGTTGAGGGAGACATTCGTGACGTGAGTTCGGTCCAGGGGTGGGATCCGACCGGTGCAACTACTGGTTCGGTGATTTTGCAATTTGTGTAAATGGCCGCTTTAAACCAATATTTTGTAGACTCTTAAGGAAAATGTGGGAGGTTTCCATGCTCGAAGCAAAACATCCACCTCAGGTGTGACTTTGTTTGCAAAATCAGGGGTCTCTGTTGTGGTTCGCTGGCAGCCTGTGCAGACAGCAGCAGAATTGGACAGTGGGGAAGAACGGGGACCAGTCCAGGAGTCTGGAGAGGACTCGGACGAGGGTCCTGCATCCGATGCAGGGATGGGACCAGGACCATCTGGGAGTGGGGTGCTGCCTCAGGAGCCTTCAGAGTCTGGCAGCAGCGAGGCAGAGGACCCAGGGGAGCCTGTTCCCAGTACGTGCATGTGCAGAGCTGCTAGAAGGTGAGAGCAGCTGAGGGAAAAGGGGTGATTCGGAAGTAAGGCTGGGAGGTGATTGCCCCTCCCATAAGGTATAAAGGAGGTGCAAAGGTAGAGAAACCTTTGCAGGAAGCAAAGTCGTTCACTCTGTTCGGATTAAACCTTGAAGCTCTATGTGGACTTTGTACTTTATTTGGCTTGTTACAGTTAATGTGGCACTTTAGTTGTTGGCAGCAGCTCAAAGGAGAGAAAGGTGGGTGCTTATCTCGAGGGACTGTTTGGGACTCACTACAGGCTGGGAATGAACATAATTCCCAATGCTGAAATAAACCAAGAGTTGTTTTAACTAAGTGTGTGCTTAATTACGGTTTTGGGAAGCCTTGGTCAGAACAGTCTCTAACCCTCGCAACTTGAAGTCTGCCAGGCTTCAAGTTGCCAAGGTTGGAGACCCCTGTCATAAATATTTTTTTAGAAAAATCAAAGGTGTGTGACTTCCAGCCAGAGCAGCAGCAGATCATCAGTTACCTGCAGAGTTTGGTGGCACCCCTGGAAAATTTGAAACATCAGAGTTGGAACAGGCTGTCCTCGGGGAAAATTTATCTACATGGTTACAAAGACTCAACATCAACTCAATGCAGGTAGTTCTTGAACGAGTCCCCGAGTCATGTGATCACCCTTTGGGAATCTTCTGACAAGAGAAGTCAACGGGGAAGCCAGTTTCAACTTAACAACCAGGTTACTTAACTTATCAACTCTTCGCAAGCGTGGAAAGAAAAGTTGGAAAATGGGGCAAAACTCACTTAAATGCCTCCCTTAGCAACACAAATTTTGGGCTCACTGGTGGCCGTAAGTCAAGGACTACTGCCTGTATAATCGATCGACTAAGCTCTTTGGGATGGAGTAGGCTTCTGAGAGCAATCACTTTGAAAGCACCTGTAACAGCCTCACAACATGTGTCCAATGGTTCCTCCCAATGATTGCTGAGACCTAGTTTAGATGGCAATTACGGGATTCGTTCCCATCATAGGTGGAGATGGCCATCCATGTTTAACACAGGGCTAGGCAAACTTTAAAGGACAAACTCTAAGGGACGTGGTGGCTCAGTGGCTAAGATGCCGAGCTTGTTGATCAGAAAGGTGGGCAGTTCGGCGGTTCGAATCCCTAGCCCCACGTCACGGAGTGAGCTCCCGTTACTTGTCCCAGCTTCTGCCAACCTAGCAGTTTGAAAGCAGGTAAAAATGTAAGTAGAAAAATAGGGACCACTTTAGTGGGAAGGTAAGAGCGCTCCGTGTGCCTTCAGTGTTTAGTCACGCCGGCCACATGACCACGGAGACGTCTTCGGACAGCGCTGGCTCTTCGGCTTTGTAACGGAGATGAGCACCACCCCCTAGAGCCGGAAACAACTAACACGCAGGTGCGAGGGGAACCTTTACATTTATCTAGACAAACTCATGGAGGATTGGCCCTTCAATAGCAGTAGCTTGGTTGCTATTCCCAGAATCATAATAAATTGCTGGAGGGCAGCCCTGGAAAGCCGTCATCCCCTTTCCCCTTCCCTTACAAATTTCTTAAATCCATCTGGTTGGCATCTCTTTGACACCAAAAGTAGAACTAGATAAGTTCTTGATCTCTTGCAGCAGGACTCATCCTTCTGTTCTTCAAACCCATTTGCCCTGACTGTTGTTGTAGGGAAAAGCACAAACTGCAGCAAAATGAACTATGCAGGGACTCACCACAATTGGAAACTGGCCACCTGGGTAGAGTCACAGAAGTCTATGCCCATCACCACGCTGACCGTTTCCCCAGGGGCCAAAGACTCTGCAAGCAGAGGGAAAAAAGCCAGAGAGAAGGATATTAGCAGAGTAATTGTCTACACGTCTACCAGACCAGGGCAATAAAGAGATTTTCTTAGCTCTCAAACAGCATGCGGTGAAGCATGTCAAATGGCCAGGAGTGATTGTAAATACACCGGACAGTTGCATTTCTTGTCCCCAAATCAAACACGTCACTAGCACTGATGATGTTACCTAGTTTGGGTAATGAAACGTCTGCAAGAAAACAAGCCAGCTCAGAGAGCCCCAAGGAGCCCTTAAACACACTGACTATAATGCTGTTTTCTCCAGTGTGGGGTTTTCCATTGTAGACTGAATGATGACTCCACCCAAACTAGAAATGCTGGAAATTGTACTTTCGATTCCCTAGAGAGCAACAGGTTATGGAAGGGTCCTTTCACTAGGTTGGCCAAGTGATCATTATCTATAGAATAGAATATTTGTAGCTCAAATTGAACTGTGGGATCCGCGGTGCTCTCTGTGCTTGGTTATTTTCTTCCATTACCAAAGGATGTCATCTAATTCAAGTATTGAAATGTCTGCAAGAAAACAACCAAGCTCAGAGAGCATGAAGAATCCACAGTTCTCCTTCTCTTCCTCCACTTCTTCCACTTCCTCCTCATCTTCCTCCCTTCTCCTCCACTCTGCAAACCCTCCTCCGTTCTAGCACTGATGTTGTTATCTAATTGGATCATTAAATGTCTGCAAGAAAACAACCAAGTTCAGAGAGCACTAAAAATTCCATCGTCCTCCTCTTCCTCCATTCTGCAAACCCTCCTCCGTTCTAGCACTGATGTTGTTATCTAGTTGGGTCATGAAATGTCTGCAAGAAAACTACCAAGCTCAGACAGCACCAAAAGCCTGCACAGTTCAACCTAAGCTACAAATATTCTCTTCTTCAGTGATCAGTATCTGTCATGCCCCTGTCGGAGTCTGAATCCGAGGAGGAAGATGAACAGCTGACAGGGAGTGTGGCTGTGGAGGAAACTGGGGAAGGGCAAAGTCCAGCTGGGCAGAGCAGGGGAGAGGTATGAAATTCAGAGGAAGACGCAGGCCCACCCCCTCTTCATCCTAGGGCATGCAAGGAGGAACAGAGAAGAGAGCAATGTGGGTTATGTGGCTTATGGGGGAGGAAAGGGCCCTGATTCCCTTCATTAGCCACAGCTGGGAAGAGAGTTTAAAAGAGATGCATGCTGACTGCAGCAGCAGCTGGGAGCAAATATGAGTCAACAAGATAGTGTTGACTTTGATTATCCGTTCCTGGCGTCTTCCCAGCCATGTGGAGTTACTGCAGTGCCTTCATGCCTGGAATTCTTGCTCCTGCCCTGTTGGACTAATTACCTCATTTTGCCTTGATTGGACTTATGGTTTTTGACCACATTCTGGACTTGATTCTCTGCAGCCAAAGGCTTGATTCCTGGGAGAGTTTTTCTCCAACCCAGCCAGGAACCAGGACATCGAGGGCAAAGTTGGAGCTAATAAAAGGGACTCCTAATGATTATCTGACTGTGTTGCCTTTGTGCCACGCCCCTTTGGGCCATCACAGTATCCCGAGGCTCACCTGAAGATGCCTCCTTCCCAACACCGTTCACCACTCATTCCAGACAGAGCATTATACACACGTGCCCCGTACCAATCTCCTTGAACTCCTGGAGACGCATGCCTGAGAGAAGCTTGGGCTCAGTCACACGGATGTTTTTCACTTCAGTTGCCATGTTGTTGCAGATCTGGATCTGCACAGCTACCATGCGGGGGTCGGGAGCGAAAGGTTGCCGGTTGAAATAGTATTCCACCGAGAGTCCTTCCCCAGTCATGCGATGCAGCAGCTTGTATTTCTTCACTGCCCCAAAGACTGGACTGATCATCTACAGATGGTAGAGCAAAAGAAGAAGAAGAAGAAAACCAAGTTGACACAACCGCTCTTCAGATATTACTACATTTCTTTTTTTTTTGTGATTATTTTTTTTTATTTTTAACATGCAATAAATCCATTCCAAACGTGTGTCGATTAGATACATATTTCATGTGCTTAACAGTTACTAATAATATTTTTCTTAACAGTATAACAATATAATAATAATCACATTCCCATATATATAAGTAATATTCAGTATGTCTATTACACTAGTTTCTCTTATTGCTTTATAAATACGTCTAATCCCTTTTAATTAATTTTATTTTCTAGCCATTTATAAAACAAGTCCCATACCATGTAATATTCAGATTCTTCTTTTTCTTTAATTTCTAATGTTAATCTATTCATTTCTGCACATTCAAATATTTTTTTCAATTACTTTTTCCTCTATTGGTATCTTATCATTTTTCCAATTTTGAGCAAATACAATTCTAGCTGCTGTTAATACATGTATAATTAAGTATGTTTTTTCTTTGCTATAACTTTCAGGTACCATTCCTAATAAGCATATTTCACAGGCTTCAAATCGATATGTTGTTTAATCGTTTTTTCCAACCATGTGTGTATTTTGGTCCAATATCTTTTAGCTTTTATACAAATCCATCACATATGGTAAAGATATTATTACATTTCTAAGGATAAAAATAAGGATATCTATGCCCAGTTAGTTTGGGAAGAAATCTATCTCCTTTTAGAGATGTAGTAGCACCTAGCTACAAATCAGGAGCTAGAAGCCAAAACAATGACCATCAGCATCTCAGTTAGGGTTTCAAGCTGATGTTCTTCCCAGTCTTGTTTGTGATGGATTGAACCTGGGATAGGCAAGGTCTTAATGCTGATATCTCTCTCTCTTCCTTGCCCCATTGAGGTCATAGACTCCACACTCAAGAATTAATTTTCTAACAAGCACAGCCAGAAAAAGCACTGCACCTTTAACACCCAGGCATAGAATTATCATAACTTGGGCTGTCTTGCAGCCATGTCAAGAAATGAAGAGCAATGCATAGTAGTTAGTACACTGGAGCAAATCTTGAGAAGTTCAAATTCTAAGGTCCAATCTCAAATCAATCAAGTTCAACTCTGGTCCCTGTTTTAAAAGCGTGTTCTATCTCACAAGTATATTGAGGGGACTGTAAACGGATGGACACCACATTTGCTGCTTTGAGATGGTTAATAGCCTTTATTGTCTACCTTTCCAAACCAGAATCAGAGAGATCACTCACAGCTGTAGTTAAAGAAGTGTCCGTCAAGGTGAGTCCTTCCAGATCGGTCACGAGGCTAGTGGAGAGAACTGGGCTGCTGGTAACCGGCTGCAAAGATGGGGGTGTGACTGTGGGTTGAAGAAACAGAAAGCCAAGAATCAATATTGTATACTTCAAGACTGATTCAAAGTGGAGAGGGAAAATAATAGAAATTAGACCAGACATGGTTGAGAACAGCTTAGAATAAAGCAGTCACTCAATGCAAGCTAGACAGACTTCAGCACCATGGACAGATCTCATAATTTAGATAGCCGTGGACAGCCATTCATAAATTGCTATGGAGGTATTGATGTATCTCCAAGATATGTTGAGTAGATAATACTCAGCCATGGATGTGTTATAGGTCCATATGAAGGTATGGGGGAATATGACTGTGTAATTAAATGCTTCTGCATAAGGAGTTTACTAAGCATAAGTAAATAATAATATAATTTAATAATATAATATATATATATATATCTGATATATAATAATATAAATAATATAATTTAATAATATAATTTAATAATTAATAATTTAATAAGCATAAGGATTTACTAAGCCAGTGGTGGCTAACCTTTTTGAGCTCCTGTGCCAAAAATTGTGTGCGCGCTTGCATGCTCGTGCTTGCGTGCCAGCACCCAGAAGGCAATGCGTGCCCACCCACACCCTATACATGCGCACACAATCCCCACCCCCCCACCCCCTTACCTGCACTGCACCTCACAGCTGATTTTCAGCAACCTTGAGGCCTTTTGGGGCCTCCCAGAGGCTTGAGGAAGGCTTCTGCAGGCTTTGCAGGCCAAAAACTAGGCCCATTTTGTCACTTCCGGTATTGTCGGAAAAACAGGAAGTGACAAAACGGGCCTAGTTTTCGGCCTGCAAATCCTGCAGAAGCCTTTCTCAAACCTCTGGGAGGCCCCCAAAGGCCTCAAACCTGCCGAAAATCAGCGGTGAGGTGCGCGCATGTGCAGTGAGGTAAATTTGCCTGCAGCTCACGTGCCAGCACAAATGGCTCTGCGTGCCACCTGTGGCACACATGCCATAGGTTCGCCATCATGGCACTAAGCTAAAGGTCTCCAAACTTGGTAATTTTAAGACTTCTGGACTTCAACTCCCAGAATTACCCAGCCAATTCTGGGAGTTGAAATCTACAAGTCTTAAAGTTGCCAAGTTTGGAGACTACTGTCCTAAATTTTGGAGCCACTGGAGGAGGAAATCTCCCATCATTCATGGAAAGAAAGGTACAGAAGAACAACCCAAAAAATCCAGATTTATGGCTCTTGGACATATAGTGAAACAATCACCTGGAAGCTCATTTAAAGGAGCCGTCCCAAAGCTCACACTTTCCAAATGCATGGATTTCAAATCCTAGAACTTTCCAGCCAACACAACCATTGTTAAGGATTTGAGAAGTTTAAATCCATACATCTACCCAGTGCCCAGGCTATGGAAAGCTAAAAAGGAATAAAAGTTATCCCAGGGGAACAGTCCTGGAGAAGGTTTAAGAGAAAGATTAAGAAGGAGGCTGAGAAGGAGGGCTGGGTGAGGGATGCTTACAGTCATCCAGATCAAGCAGCGAGATCTCCTTTGATCCTTTCTTGGCTGCTTTAGGAGGTGGTTTCCTGCTGGAAAGCTGAAAGAGAAAAGACAAAAGGAAACAGAAGCCAGAGATGGAACCACAACTCCAGGCAGGCCTGGTGGGGTTGGGAACCGTAAGAGACTCCAAACAACAAACGGAATTAGATTAAACTGGAGATCTGCTCAATCACGGAGTTAAATCATATGTTTTTAATTTTATTTATTTACTTATATCCCACCTTTATTATTTTTATAAATAACTGAAGGCAGCGAACGTATAAAATGCTCCATCCTCTTCCCCACAACAACCCTGCAAGGTAGATTGGGCTGAGAGAGGGACTGCAAGCAAAGTCACCCATCTGGATTTCATGCCTAAGGTGGGACCAGAACTCACCGTCTCCTGGTGATTGGCCCAAAGTCACCCATCCAGCT